GCGTGGAGGGGGCGCAGCGCCCCTAGAGGGGCGGGTAGTCCACCTGTTGCTGTCCGTCTCATTTGTCGGTTCGACGTCTGATCACGTCCGTCACGTCCACGTTGTGTAAGACTGCATGGGCACTCACCCTGGCCGTGAGCACGCCGCGCACGGTGATGCCCGTCATGGGCGCGAACCGCAGCTCCACGCCGGGCTCGACGACGAGCTCGCCGGTCTTGTCGATGATGAGGTCCTCGCGGATGACGTAAGGGCTCCTGCCCCGCTCCAGGACCTGCTGTCGGTTGGCGATGACGCCGCCCGTGAACTCGGTGGGCTCGCGGCCCGCCCCCAGGCGCTCGTCAAGGCCCGGGGGGAAGCCCGGGGGCGGCACCAGATCCGGAGGCCGCGCCGGGTCAGGGGGCGGCGCCAGGTCCGGTCGCCACACCACGTCCCCGGCGCCGTGGGGGACCACGTTCACGTCCGGTGGCGCCCAGGGCGGCGGCGACGCCCCTGGCCCGCTGTCCACGGGGTCGAGGGTGTTAGGCGGCCAGGATGGCGACGGCGGTTGGGCCGGGGGCTGCGGCGGCGGCACCCAAGGGTCACGGCGCCAGTCGGGCGGGGGCGGCGCGCGGGGCGGTGGCGCGGGGTTGTAGCCCCAGTTGCCCTGGGCGCGCACCCCGCTGGCCAGCGCGACGACCATCAGCGCCCACAGCATGGTCATGGTACTGGTCTGATTAGCACTCACTCACTGGCATGTAGCCACACTTCACACGCGGCGGGACGACTCTGGGTCGTCATGGAAACACACACATACACAAACACACACGCGCGCACGCACACACCTGACCCGACACTCAGGCGGCGGCCAACCAGCACGAACAAGCAGGTAAGGCTGGCGGATGGGCGGCACGGTGCGCGCCACGGGCTCCGGCAGGTAGCTCTGCCTGCGACTGACTGCTGGCCGCCCGTTGGGCTGGGCCCGCTCCCGCTCTGGCCACGGCCGTCCCGCGCACCGCCGCACCGCCCCGCCGCGCCCCGCGCACCGCACCGCCGCGCCGTATCGCGTCCCGCTCCGCCCATCTCGACCGCTTTTCGACAGCGCTAGGCGCCTGCCGAGCCGATGCGCTATGCACTTGGCGCCATGGCGCCACTGCGCTGGCTGGACTTCCCCGACTTCCCTGGCCTAGGCGATCTCGCGCTCTCCTCTGCCGCGATGATCGTATGTCGTCGTATCGCTACCGACAAGGTAGGAGATTGGAAGGAGACGGATCGACGTCCGACTAACGTTCCGCCTCTTGAAACGAGTATTTGGATTGACTCTTCGTAACCATAAAGGATTTGGCATGAGTCATGCGGTTCGTGTAGCAAGAGTTCATTTTTATTTCCCAGCAGCTGGTTGTCACATGGTTGACTACAATACAGCAGCGGAAAGTACACGATAGCGCCTGGATGGTAGGCACCTTCTTTGTCACACGACGTGTGCCGAATGGGATGCCTACCTTACGGCGTCGTCATGAGTTGACCTAACCATGTGGTTCTGTGAATGTGTGGATGTGTGGATAGTTGAAAGCTGATGCCATATTTCAGTTTGTATTACCACGAAACTGAACAGCCTATCTATTTCTCTACATTTAATGAAACTCTTTCCGTTTCAGTGTGTTAAATTTTGTGTTTGTGGGCATGTACAAGTGGTTGGTACTCCCGGACCCAGCATGGCCGCTCCAAGCAGCCGATAAAAGCGAAAAGACATTGTGTTCCTTTGAAATTGTCAATTTGTGGACGTATTCTTTTCTCTAATTCGTGACTGTCATAATAATTAGAGCAATGCTCCGACGTCTAGTAATAGGTGCTTTTCGCCCTAGTGGCTGCTTGCAGGGGGCTGCTCGCTTAAGCACTATCGCTGAAACAAATACTGCCGAAGGTTTGTATGCATACTGTTTTGGAATCTTTAATACCAAGCCCAAAATTGACTATTTCGTAGAAACTATTTTATAGTATGAAAATCCCATTTCAAAAAATATAAATCTTATTCTGTGAGAATGAAAT